GTGTATTATTTTTTTGATATGATGCTGAATTCTATTGGCTAGAATTTTGTTGAAAATTTTTGCATCTATATTCATGAGAGATATTGGTCTGTAATTTTCTTTATTTGTGGCGTCTTTGCCTAGTTTTGGTATCAGGGTTATGCTGGCTTCATAAAACGGATTCAAAAGTATGCCTTCCTTTTCCATGTTCTGAAATAGTTTGAGTAGTACTGGTATAACCTCTTCTATGACTGTTTGGTAGAATTCTCCAGTGAAGCCATCTGGACCAGGGCTTTTTTTTTGTTGGGAGTTTTTTTATTACCTTTTCAATATCTTCTCTTGTTATCGGTCTCTTCAGATTTTCAACATCATGTCATTGTAGTTTGGGTAGGTAGTGTGTTTCTAGAAAATTATCCATTTCCTCTAGGTTTTCAAATTTTTTGAAGTATAGATTTTCATAACATTCTGTTATGATCTTTTTTATTTCCGTTGGGTCTGTTGTAATGTCAGCCATTTCATTTCTTATTTGGGTTATTTGCGTCCTCTCCTGTTTTTCTTTTGTCAGTCTGGCCAGTGGTTTGTTGATTTTGTTGATTCTTTCAAATAAACAACTTTTGGTTTTGTTGATTCTTTCTATTGTTTTTCTATTCTCTATTTCATTTATTTCTGCTCTTTATTATTTCCTTTCTTCTAGTGGTTGTGGGCTTTTTCTTTTTATTATTATTTAAAACAGCACTAATTTAATTTGGTCCTGAGAATGTCTAAGTCTGTATTATCCATTTTGCATTAATTCTTTTCTAATCACTTTGTAGCTTTAATTTTTTTTTACAAAAAGTATATGTCACATCATTAAATCAGTGATCCATATGTTATTTAATTCTAAAGCCTTTGACACTTCTTGCCTTAACAATTTTAAAAACCATACACACAAAACTCTGTATATTAATTCAACAGTCCAGAAGTTTAGTTCTATTTTGAGGTTTACCCATCTGATCACTATAATTATATAGTTCTCATTTAAAATATACTATTTAAATCTAATTTTTACATTTCAAAAATTATCTTTAGTAGTAACTAAGTGTATTTTCTGTGAGGTTATTTCGAAGAATGTTTTCTTCAGAATGTGAGTTTAAAATCTGTTTTTGGATACTTTATGTATATATATATATACTTGTAAAAAAATTTGTATAATTTTGTTATAATGTAGTTCCCCAAAATATTTATTTTAAGAGCATATGTTAATAGTAAATGAAAGCATTTTAAGGAAGTGTTCACATTTTTTACACTTGCCATTCCAACAGTTTTCACACTACACATCTACCTCTCTAGTCCTTTCCCAGTAGGTGAGGAACCATTTCACCTAAGCGGCACTCAACCTGAGAGGCCTGTATGCTTCTCAAAGTAAATTCACTTAAAAGACAAACAACAAAGAAAAAACAAACAGAATTGAATGACTATTGTAAGCCACCTCAACACTTCTGGCCACGCTTCTGTTTTCACAGTGGATTTTGAAAAATACCATATTATAAAGGCTGATACTTAAAATAACAGTGTACAGACATGCTGCACACGTTTCAACAGACTTTAGGTATCTCATAGTAAAAAGAAACAAAATGAACAACAACAAAAAACACTCCATGTTAAAACCACTAAACACCTTACAAACTTGAAGAATTAGACACTTCAGATAGGCAATAAACTTGATATTATGAAAGCAATATATTCCAGGTTTCAAAGATTTGACAAGTTCTGTAGAATATCTTTCATCAGTAGATGGCAACTTTCAAAACCCACAATTTTCTGCTGGGTAGGACTGGGTGTCATTCACTGGTTTGAGGTCGAATCCATTTCAAGGCGTGTCATGGTGGTACAGTAATGGCAGGATGGTAAAACGCACAGTCAGGTCTTGTACACTGAGTGTTGAACCTACAGTGTTTTGGATGATAGAAAGGACATTCCATTTTCTTACAAGCAGGGAAGTAACACCAGAGCTGAGTACTAGAAGGTGGTGCTGGTGTTGTAACTGCTGGTTTTGGAGGCAGTACTGGGATTCTTCTACTCATATGAGTGAAGGGACAATCTGGCTTAGTACATTTTGCATCATATTTACAATTTGGATGAACAAACAAACATTTTTCAGCAAATTTACAATTGGGAAAGGCTTTGCAAGGTGAAACAGGGTGATGGTAAGCACACTCATCTCCATTTTTACAGGCAGGCCGGTACTTGCTGTGCTCCAAAAGTTTTTCTGGTTTCTGTGCCACTTTCAATTCGCTCATCTCAGCTTGGCTATTATGCAGAGTTTCTGCCATTACTGGATCAATTTGCAGTCGGGAAAGCAACTGCCTTTCTTGAGGTCCTTGACTTTTTTCTGTATTATCTCCTTTTGTCTCCTCTTCTTTAATGGGGGGACTTATCCTGGGAGGCCTGCTTTGCGCTTGGACCCCTTCTGCTAGCAATTCTTGTTGAAAAGTTCGAGTTCTAGGAGCAACTGGAAGTGTCTGTTTCTGTGGGACTGTAGAATAGTTTGTTGTTTTTGTTACAGATTCTTGAGCTTCAGATATAGCTTTCAAAATTAGATTCTTGTTAGCTTGTTTAGAAGATGGAAGTGAAGGTATCCTCTCAGGCTTTGCTGGCACTGACACACTGCTGGAGACGCTTCCTGTTCGGGAGCCATAATCATCATCTTCCTCCTCTTCTTCTCCATCGTGACTGAATTTTTTTACTTTAATAACTGAACTTACCACAGGCAACTTTCTCTTCTGATAGTTTTCTTCCTCAATACTCATTTTTTCTGAGTTGTTTCTGAAGAAGGGACTGTAAGTCTTGTCTAAGCTGTTCAGCACTTCTGGTTCACACAAGTGTCCAGCATCATATACCCGGCTGTTCTGTGTGTCGACTTGTTTGGCAGCTTGAATACTGTTTTGCTGCTGTTGAAATTGCAACCTTATGTTTAAATGAGCACCACTGTCTGCCTTTCGACTTGCAGGTGGCCGATAAATTTCAATAGAGGGGCAAGAAGACGCATATATTAGTGTCACTGTAGGATTTTTTTTTTTTTTTTTTGAGGTAAGGCATTCTCCTGCACAGAATTGAGATCTTCATCAATGAGATCATCTGGCTCAGGCTTAATATCAATCACATCTTCAGACGGTGCTGGCTCCCTCAGAGGTTTCACTGTTGACATCAGTCGGGTTGCAGCTCCATCATCATAAGTCTGTCTGACACTGGTGGTTTTCTGCTCCTGTGAACTTGTGGAAACTCTAGTATCTCTTTTTTCAGACCTGGTGCTGGAAACTGCAAGGGGTGGTACCGCAGCTTCGTGCCTTCTCTCATCTCCTCGACTGAAACTGCCCTTGTTTAAAGGCACGTTACTATCAAAGATGCTGCTATCGGATGACTTAAGGCTAGAGGGTTCAGTTGTAACAGAGTGAAGTTTATCTAAAACACCATGAAGCCGTACGGTGAATCGAACTCTGTTGTTCACTAGAAACAGGGACAGGTCCTCCGTCATTTGGTCCTGACTTTTCTTGTTGGCCACCATCACCATAATATAATCAGGAAGTTCTACATCAACATAAGCTCCTAATTCTTACAATTTCCCCTTAATGGCACTCCGGATCTTGTGGCTGATCTCGGTGCCGATCTCCATGGCTCCACAGGTGCCTGGCTTGGCACTCCTTTGTGGGATTTTTGCTGTTCTCTTTCTATTTGAGTTGTGTGGTTAATGTTTTGATTTTGTCCCTTTCTTCCTTTTTGATGTGTGCATCTATTGCTATAAATTGTCCTCTGAGGACTGCCTTTGCTGTGTCCCAAAGGTTTTGGTATGATGCGTTTTCATTCTCATTCTATTCTAGGAATTTTTTGATTCCATCTCCGATTTCTTCTATTACCCAGTGGTTTGTAAGCAGGGTGTTATTCAGTTGCCATGTAATTGATTTTTTTTCCTTGCACTTTCTGTTGTTAATTTCTACCTTGACGGCATTGTGGTCAGAGAAGATTCTTTGTGTTATCTCAACTTTTTGGATCTTGTTAAGCATTGCTCTGTGGCCTAAGATGTGGTCCATTCTGGAGAACGTTCCATGCGCATTGGAAAAAAATGTGTACTTTGCAGCTATTGGGTTTAGTGTTGTATATATGTCTATGAGGTCAAGTTGGCTGATTGTGCCCTTTAGGTCTTCTGTATCTTTGTTGAGTTTCTTTCTAGATGTTCTGTCTTTTACCGAGAGTGGTGTGTTGAAGTGTCCTATGATTATTGTGGAACTGTAAATTTCTCTTCTCAGTGCTGTTAGAGTTTGTTTTATGTATTTTGGAGCCCTGTCTTTGAGTGCATATATGTTTATAATGGTTATGTCTTCATGATGGATCATCCTCTTAAACATTATATAGTGTCCTACTTTGTCTTTTATTGTGGGTTTTGTTTTAAAGTCTTTTTTATCTGAGATTAATATTGCTACTCCTGCTCTTTTGTGGTAGCAATTTGCTTGATATATTTTTTCCACACTTTGATTTTTAATAAATTTACATCTTTGTTTCTAAGGTGTGTCTCTTGTAGACAGCATATGGATGGATCCTGTTTTTTT